TTACCTGATAATTTACTCTTCGCGAAATAATGTTAGGGTGTTCAGATCAGGGATGGCGAGACGGATGGGGCTCGTAGCGTGAGTTGACTCTGTTCGTCCATCTTTCTCAGACATTAAAATTATATTTACCGCCTTCTGAGATAATCTCTCTTACCTGTTACTTGTAATGGTCCTTTCAGAAACAAATGAGTGTGTAAAAGGCTTTATTATGTGCTCAAATGAAGGCAGATGAATGGGGTTATATTTCATGCTCATCCACGCAAAATGTGTTCGGAGGAATTAAAGGACTTATAATCTAATTAAGTTCCATTGTGCTCTTTAAGGGGAGGGCGGGGGGCGGACGGATTATGTCGACAGCTTAATTCAGTAATGTTGGTACGCTTGACTTGCTCGCAGCTGCTGTCTTACACACAGAGCACGGCGTCTTGGATACATGAGACAATTTCGTAACGAAAATTATTTTTTTATGTAAGTGCATTTTCATGTATTATTTTATCTTCAAATCCATTTCTTTTTAAAATGAAATAATCGTTCCTTTTACTTATTAATGTTTCATGCAAATATGAACTAAGCTAGACGCCTTCCTTAGTAGTCTCATACTTAAAACATCCGCCACGGTGGTCTAGCGGTTAGAACCCTGGCCTTGTAATCCTGGGGGTCTCGGGTTCGAATTTATAACTTGTGTTGGGCAAGGCCGTGGTCTAGGCAACACGGAGTTTTCCTCCGTGGCATCCCAACAATTACTCCATTCACACACAGAAGAAGGCAATGGCAAACCACTTCTGGATCATCTGCCAAGAACGTATATGAACAGGTCCCAGTCCGAGAAGAGAAAAGGATGGAAGGATCCTGTTCATATGGACCTGTCGTCAGACAGAACACTAAATAATAATAAGATGGCACCTCCTACAACGAAAGATTCACGGAATTGCCAACTCTTATATATTATTTGTCTTTCGGGTTGATGACTGACAGGTGGAACGCATTTTGTGTGCGGATAATCGCAAATTTTGTTATTAATTAATCGTACAGTTTCTGATTTCACATTGGAGTTTACCTCGGCTGTATATGTTGAAAGATTTAAAAGCGTGTAGGCGTCACGGGGTTTTTACACAAGTCGTTGTTAAACAATATTTAAATTAGATTTGCCAATTAATGTCGCTGCTGAGTGGTGTGCCTCAGTTAACCGTTTATTCCCGCGGATCAATTGCTTGTACGTGCGTGCGCGATCGAACTGGGCACAACTGTACAAATCTTGTAAACTGTAATTGAGTTTGTGTTCGGTGCTGTAATGACTCCCAAGCGGGAAACGCGAAATTATGAACGTTATGACGTTTCGTTTGTTTTGCCAGATTATTAAGTTGGTAACACTGATATGGATCATATGCGTACAGAGTCCAATATCACGCATGGATCGGATGATTGAATGAAAAAAAAAATAAAACAGAAGAACAACGAAGCTCCCACAAAATATGTTTATCTTTTACCATGTTCAGATCAATAATGCGTCAAGCCTCTGTGTGAACTTGCGCAAATCAAATTAATTAAAAACCTTTAAAGTCCGGTGGTAACTATGTGTACCGCCTGCTCCAACAATCAGTAACTCTTCATTCTGTATTTTTGGGTTTTGTATGAGTCTCAGAGTAAACAGCGATTATTTCCTTAAACAGCGTTAACCATTTGATCCTTTTAATGGTGAAGTGTGGTGTTTTCTTCGCGGTACGGACTCAATTCTTAAATGTAATTTAGACGAACTATGATTCTCACTGTAAACAGCGATTATTTCCTTAAACAGCGTTAACCATTTGATCCTTTTAATGGTGAAGTGTGGTGTTTTCTTCGCGGTACGGACTCAATTCTTAAATGTAATTTAGACGAACTATGATTCTCACTGTAAACAGCGATTATTTCCTTAAACAGCGTTAACCATTTGATCCTTTTAATGGTGAAGTGTGGTGTTTTCTTCGCGGTACGGACTCAATTCTTAAATGTAATTTAGACGAACTATGATTCTCACTGTAAACAGCGATTATTTCCTTAAACAGCGTCAACCAGTTGATCTTTGCAATGGTGAGGCGTTGTGTTTTCTTCGCGGTACGCACTGAATTCTTAAATGTAATTCAGACGACCTACGGCTTCAGCGGGCCAGATTTTGCTGCAGAGGGAAGTGCAAAGTTCGTTCTGCAGGAGCAGCTCATCAGAATGACCTGCGGCATCGCGTGTTCTTATCCGATCCCAGACGGAGAGAGCCGAAGTGGTACAATTATAGTCCAGCGGGGTTAAGCATGTGATTTGTGAACAAAACACGGGGGCAGTATCGATTCAACCTTGGGTCACGCGTTGCAAGGTCACGCACTTGTTGCGTGTAAACTGGGCCGCGTTCCGGAGTCTTGAGGCCGGCCACTTGTCGTATTGATTGAGTTTCAACACATGAATCGGGGCAGCTGCCCCAAATCTGCGTGCTCGACGTTCCCTCCCGTTATTGAGCCCTGCAAGTAGCCAGTTGCGTCCTATCGGCACATTTAGGTCCTGTCTCATTATCGACTTCTACTCCAATGCCGTCTCGGCGTGAATGAAAAGTGGCGTCAAATCTTTTAATGGTATATTTGGAGTTCTTTGCGCAAGTTTGTGTCTGGCTGTCCGTCTGCCTTGGGTTTTTATCTTTTAGTCTATCCTGAAAGTATCGCCAAAGTTGACTGACTGTAAGGTCGATATTTCCTCAGAAAAATCACATTACATCGCCCTTTTCGGAATTATAATCCCAAGAAGTACACAAGATTTCTGGCGCAGATGAAGACAGACAACCGATGATTCAGTGGGATAAGACGAGGAGGTCAAAATTCAAGCCACACGCCGAGAAGAGAGTTGTACGATGTTAAACAATGAGAAAGAAGGATCGAGTTTTCTTACGACGTAGTTAGGCGGGCGATTGTTGTTTCAGGGGCTCCCGCCCTCGCGTCCATTTGCGTCGTAGCAACACAAAGCGTTAATGCCCGCCGTGGGAGAGCGCTGTTGTTGGTGCGTACAAAGTCCGAACAATGGAATGCAGCCGTGAGGAAATTAGGCTGTTTTCGTTTCTTAACTGTTGGTCGTCAGAATATGTCCTTGAGCAACATCTCCAGTAGTTTTAAGGCTCAGTCGAGCCAGGGTAAATATTTGCTTCGCGTTCTGAGACTCAAGAATAATTTTACACTAGACTTCGCAACTGATGGCCCGCAGGTAACATCCGGACCACGATTAGTCGTTACGGTGTTCGTCAGCTTAGATGCAGATTCACGTCGTGTTTATGACAAGTATCAGGAGCCTTCGTTTGTTTCTTCAGGTTTTCTGATCTCTTTCCACGTAGTATTGAAAGAATGAAGGATCGATTGCCAATGACACATTCGAATAACAAAATATAAAAGTGGCCATCGCCTATTTCAAAAGTTTTGCCTTAGTAAGTTCACAGCACGACCCGTGAAAAATTGGAGAAGTTTTCAGTCGAGCTAACCGATTCCAGGGTAAACTACGACGCGGAAAATTGTACTCCAGTGGGAGTACGAAAGTCTTTGTGATATTAATTTTTATTTCTGATGAAAGAATCTCATTGCAGGCGTCGTATTTCTGAGAGTGTATTTCGTTACGTAGAAAATGTTTTAAATAAACGTTGTACATCTTAATGAGATTTATGTTTTGATTTGTTATGAGCCATTTTACGACAACCCATAAGATTTTTATTTTGAATTTTATATGAAGAAGTAGTAGTTACCTTAGATCTTCCCTGATAATTCCGTGTTTTTCTCGGTCGTTCCGTCGTATTCCTGTGTCGAGCTTAAAGTCAATCACAGTTACCTCCTCCTTCAGCACTGATTTTAAGGCAGTTTACTCACCGTTGATGACAATCCATGTAATATGTGGATGTCTAAGTAAATTGATAATTAACAATTTCATTAAAACTTTCATAATTTATGACATTAAATTTTAACTGCGCCGAGTAACTTCCATCTTTTGAAATCAAAGCTCGTTTGTTTAATCTTCAGTAGCACACAGAATTGTCGTCGTTACACTTTTTGGGTCAGAGCAGTAGAGCAGCTTAACTCAACGGTAAGATGTCACTCTGTTGAGTTACTGAATTTGTGAGTTTTTCTTTATACAACCGTTAGAGGCATTTTGTGAACATTGTGACGAAATATTAAGGGGGGGAGGGGAGGGAGTAAATTTTTAAGGAGTTGTGCGGATGAGCTCCCAAGAATTGTGTTTTAATTGGTTAGTTATTTAGTGTAGTGCAGTGACTAAGCTACAGGCTGGAGGACGAGGCTTCGATGCGCAGCTGCCCCATGGTCTATCCACCCACCCCAAACTCCAATGGATCAGGAATGCGCGGAGCTTCGCCTCCTTTCCCCACTTCGCCGTCCGCATTTCCCTGTACTCATTGGCTCAGTGTCAACTTATAAAACTTATTTGAAAACCGCATTCAACAGTAAAATCAGAATTGTAGAAATTGGAATAAATTAGCTTAGGACGGCGGATGCGGGACGGCGGGTTGGACGAGAAGAGAACTGAATTTGTCACCTTTCGTGGCCGTCTCGATGTTCGGCCTCGCCCCGGCCTGGTTTTTCTAGTTCCGTTTTCATTGTCACCTCGTGTCTTATCAGCTGTAACATTTTTATCTTTCGAAGTCGTCTCGATGTTCGGCGTAGCCACAATAAGCGTCTTGACGCCAGGCGTTGTTGTTAAAATTCTGGCGTGAAGAAGTTAATTAACACCAAGATCAGGCAGTTATTTGACTAAACATTTTTAAAATATCAATTACTCTGCTCCGGACCTTCCAATTGTTGTTTAACGATCACTTTCACGTATTGTAGACGCGGCTTACCTGCACACGGAAGAGACAAATTTGAACGAAGTAGACCCGAGGCAATTGTTAAGAACCGAAAACAAATTCTGGAATCGGTCGTCATTTCCTGTGCGTACGCTTGATATAAACAATGCTGCATAGACATGAGAAATATCTCCGCCAGGATGCGCTAATGCCGATTGTGTTCATCTGTTTGTTTTAATCCCACGCTCGTGCGGGAGACGCTATTCAGTTGTCACCTGTTGCAGCGAGTCTCTGTTTCCTGTCTGCAGATGGCGTTGTTATAGTTTGGTTCTGTTTTATCAGCTCAGTGATTGGAGTGACTACGGAATACGTCATGGCGCTGGTAAACTCTGTTACGATTTTTTTTTAACAAGTTTGTTTCCGAATAACGAGAACAAAGCAGTTTTATCAGCATTATTGCCCAACGGCGCCTTCAAACCACGTGGGAAGTGAAAGGAGACCTGAGGCCCGTCGCCATAACACGTCTTTTCAGTTGGGCATTTTTCGCAGCAGGTCAGATCGTGTCTGAAGTCTCGCAGTTCGCGAGAATCTCGAAGTCCAGCGTGGTTGGCGCAGTGCAGCCATGTTTGGCGTCTTCCTGAGTAAGAATGAGGAAAAGGCGATGGCAGGGGCGAACGAAAGGACTGAAGGAAGATAAATGGACGGACAAGGAAAGTGTGGGAAGGAGAGTGGATGTGACGAGGAGGAAGACAATGAAACGAACCCACGAAATGACAACAGCATCCAGAATTTTGGAAAGTAGAAGACGCGATGGGAGATCGTTGAACTGGACAATGCAACTGAATAAGAACGGCATTTACGTGTCTGCGACCCACAGGTTGTAAGACACACACACACACATACACACCACTGTTATTTATTCGTCGTAACCATAAACTGAGGCTTTCGTCACGATTTAATTTCGCCTGTAAACTTCGTTACTTTTTAAAGCTGGTTTCCGGGCAGTTTCATATCTGCGCAAAAACAATTGAAAGCAAACATGCGTCCCGCTGTTTCGGGCAGTTACGCTGTCGATTGTTTTCTGTCGTGTAATTAAAACGAAGCAGATGGAAACAAAAGAACGGCGTTCCCGGGAGAAATAAACACTGCAGCCATCTTTTTATTACGTATTATTGTTCTCTGGCTTTAATTCGCTCTGCCTTGTTCTTCTTAACACAAAGCTGAGTGCGCTCCACACATTGTCAAGTGCATGGAATAATCAGCTTCTGTGAAAATGAGGGCGTGTTCACAAAGGCGAGGACGCCGATGCTCTGTGCCTTCAGCTCAGCCATGAATATTCCGTCTGTGACTCGAATTCGGCCACAGACTCTTCAGTCTTAACACATCTGTGATGATCGTCTCAGAACGAGGCTCGGTGCGCCGATTGTTACTACATTGACTTAAGTCTAATGAAATACGAAAAGTTAAGTTGCAAAGGAAATTTAATCTGTTGGGTTCGTTACATTCCTATAATATTTTACGTGAGTGTTATTTTTAATTTTTAATTGTTTGAACTTAAGAACATTTATTTCCGGGCGAGACAAATCGATGCTTTTTTTCTGTATTAATGTCTTCGGTGACAAAATCATTCTCCATTTCATCAAGACACTCTCGGTTTTCGTTTGCCTGCAAGGCAAAATGAGAGTTTACTACTCTCAGCGTGAGCAGCGTATTAAGATGTAATCTTTTAGCTAAGTTCGCCATTGCTTCAGATGGCTTGTGCGCGTACTTCGATATTTTTATATTAAACAAGAAAAAGTATGAATATTTCCCTTGCGGACACTTTGTCTCTAATTAATCTGTGATTTCATTTTAATATAATTATTTCCTATTTATTGTTTTGTTTTTCTCTGCACTTGCGTCTAATTAGCTTTATTTGATGTTGCCAAGCACATTCATTAATAATGTGAATTAATTAAATTATTATTATTATTATCAATATCACGGGAAGACGAATGTCGTTAATTAGCGTGATGGATGTGACCCGTACTCGCGCATTATACACGATTTAAAAAAATTTTGCACCTCTGAAGTCTTATGTCAGTCTGCGGTGTTTCTCCATCTTTTTTCATATCTATCGAGTCCCTCCCGCAATTCCGACCTTTTCTGTGATTTTTTGCTCTATATACTTTAGACAGTGATTACCTAAAAGTAAAACGCGTAAACTGATATAATTAACGAACGAGCTAAATACTCGAATCTGACATTGCTAACTTACGTTATAAATTATTTTATTTTAAAAGCCTTCTTAACTTAAAGCCCGCCTCTGATTTCCATCGCATGGGTCCCGCTGGTGGCTTGTTAACCTGACCCAGGGATTTGACGACGTCTACACATCAGACAAAAGTTTGGCGAAACTGTGGCGTCGCGAATTATTCAAATATAGGAAAACAGTGACGAGACGCAGATGCAGTTAACTCTCGCCTTTTCGCTTCAGACTCCACTGTAACTTAATTGTGTATTAATTTTATAGATCCAGGTCTTCCTTGATTTAGTTCGCTACTTAACGAACTCCACAAAGCAGATTCTTTCTCCAGAACTCAAAAGTTGTTCAGACAGCGAAGAAATTTCTATTCGTTTATGTTCGCCTGAAATCCATTGCATTCTTCGGTGAAGATCCATCACTTGACCTCATTCTGAGGCACATGAATGTAGTCTGCACCGTTTACAATCTGTTTCGTCACGAAGATCTTAATCTATGACTTCGTCTCGTCCTTCGAGGTTTCCTGACCGATATATCGTAAGCATTTCTCTTTCACACATGTCAGAAGCTCTGCTCGCATCACGGTCGGCTGCCTGCCTTACCGTTGCATCGCTAAATCCTCGGTGCCGTGTCCCTGTAGTTGGGGTTCACTTCTGAACCCGCGGCAAGTCTCCTCCACCCTCACACGAACGCCGAGTGCTGAAAGTGAGGCGGTCAACTCTGCAAATCTGGATTCTCATAATTACGCACTTTCCTACAGCCTCATGTTTCTTCACCCCTCACGAGTACTGTATTATTATTATTATTTAGTGTTCTGTCTGACGACAGGTCCATATGAACAGGATCCTTCCATCCTTTTCTCGGACTGGGACCTGTTCATATACGTTCTTGGCAGATGATCCAGAAGTGGTTTGCCATTGCCTTCGTCTGTGTGTGAATGGAGTAATTGTTGGGATGCCACGGAGGAAAACTCCGTGTTGCCTAGACCAAGGCCTTGCCCAACACAAGTTATAAATTCCGGCACCGCCGGGAATCGAACCCGAGACCCCAGGATAACAAGGATAGCGTTCTGACCGCTAGACCACCGTGGCGGTCGTATTTTGATTTTATTAAAATATATTAAATAATTTCCTACTCCGGGTGATCAGTTTTACAACACTGCAATATTGTTGTCTATTTGTGACGTCTATAGATAGACAACGCACATTTTGCACCACTGAAGTAGTTCTGGTTGTAATGAAACGCGTGACCTTGAGTCCTCTGAAACTGAAAATGTGTTATGTGCGCGTCGTTCAAGGCCGTGTCCAAACTTTTACCGATTGTCCTTTGTTAACTGAAGAGTACCACCCTTCCTTCCGGACCTCTTACTCACCAGACAAGAACGAAATCATACGCCGAGCAGTGAAATATCAACGTCGTTTTTGTTTGTTTCTGTTTTCTGTTGGACGGTCGATATGAGAACACTTCGATTTGTTACTGTCATTTATATGACCGGCACAGAGCGTGTCTACTGACGTGCGTAGAAGACAAGGTCAGGTTTCAGCGAAGAGTAGACCCTGACCTCGCCTGGCTCAGGGCAGGGTCCGGTGAGAATCTTGTGCCCGTGGCAATGACCACTCCTTTTAGTAAGAGATTGATGATCTCTTGAATACCTGAGCTACTATCAGCTCCTCGACGATGACTTTGGTTTTTTGGCGGGAAGTGGCAATAGGCGACGTTTGTCAGAGCAGCGAGAAATTTATTGACAGAAACAGGCGAAAGCCGATAGAGGAGGATACTCGTTTGGAGCGAGTTGGCACGGCGAAACATTTGAATATCGCTTGCGCGGTGCCCCGATCCACAACAGCGATCATTTCCTTAACCAGCGTCAGTCAGTTAATCTTTGTATTGGTGAAGTGCTGTGTTTTCTTCGCGGTGCGGGCTGGATTCTTAAATGTAATTTAGACAAGCTTCGTGCTTCGAAAGGTTGATGTAATTGCCAAGATGGCTTAAGTCACACGAATATTTCACCGTCTTCTAAACATGACAGACACGTGCTCACACAGTCCGCGTGTTTTCATAGTCACGGCGCGGTAATCAGTGCGTTACGTCAACAGTTCGTATAATTAATATTCAGACCTACAAGAGACGACATTAGTGTTCGCTGTTTGACCGAGCTGTGTGTTTATAGTTTACTGAGGTTTGTTACGCATCCGGACTTCTGAGGTGGGATCAACACTAGCGCCATTAATAGAGTTATGGCGTAGGATGTTGGCATTTTGTGTGGCAATATGCATTACTCGGGGTCGAATATAATACAATGACATTTAGCTCTTTGATGGGTTTAAATAATGCTTCGAGTTGTGTGTGCGAAATATTTTGTTCGCGTAGACCACAACGCACGCGCAGAAAATCTGTTTGTGTTGGTTGACACGAGAAGTCACGTCAAGAACCGGGCGCCTTTGTCCGACGATGGTCTGTCAGCATTGGTGATGTTCTATTGTTTTTGACATCGCGCGGAAAGAAATCAGGCATCGTAGAATACCAGCGACAGAAATTGCAACTGAATGCGATTTTACTCTCCCTTTTAAGTGTGTCCGCTGTTGGTAGAGCGAAATCCAGCAGCGAGATTGGATTTTGTTAGGTTTGTTGGTAGGCACAAAACTTACAGATGGATTTGTAACCTGAAACGTGTCTCAGACTGTGTTATATCGAGTGGCAGACGGACACAGTCTATCGTCTTTAAAGTATCTTTACGCTTATTCAAATCTAGTAATTGCCGGCGATAGTTGTGGCGAGTTTTGTAAAGCGAGGCGGACGATACGCATAGTTTCGCTTAATTCTAATGTGATAATGTAATGGAGGTAGGCGGACAGGCAGGATCGGGGGTCTGTGTGTGATGATGGTATTTGGCAGGCGGTGGGATTCTAACGTAACACGAAGCTCGCCTGCACAAATGAACATCGACTCCCTAGGCTAAGGG